CTCAAAATGGATGGTTCCATAAAAAAACTGTAATGAAGAGGGTGAGCCGGATTTGAATTATCGATAGGAACATTTATGAACTTGTATTATTTGAGGAGTTTCATGCCTCGCCACTCGAATGTTTCGGCTCTGTTAAATGCGGGCGGCAAATGTTACACGCCCTGTCACAATAAATGTCTTGCTGACTTGATTCGGGGGACCCCTCCCCTCCACAAAAAAAATATAATTAAAAAATCGTATCAGATCTTACAGCTCTAGAAATTATGTATACATGCTGTCATATCTACATGAGAAAAAACAAACAAAACAAACTTAAACAAAACAGAATACCCCTCCATCTATTAAAAAAACTAAGAGAAAACTTGGAAAGACGAGCATAAAAGATTAAAAATAGCCGAACATTTTAATCTACGAGTGGCCTTCCCGCTACGCATTTCATAAGAGCTAAAACCAAATTCAGTTGCCCACATTTGCAAAGACAAAGTCCTGACCCTACTCTCTCCCCTCATTTATTCTTTCCATTGACCGAGTATTTTGGCAAAGCAAGGTTCTGGTGTTACTATACTATTTCAACCGATGTGAATGCATAGGTGTTATCATCATCAAAGGTTACGTACCAACAGTAGTTTTTAAAATGCGATGAAAGTAAAACATGTTTGTGTCCAACAGATTATTTTTTTGTGCTGGGACTCGCTTTTTGAAGGCGGTTAGATTTTAATCATTGCCCAACACCCGTGTCTAATATTAATGGAACATATTCTTTTTAAATATTGAAGTAGATGCAATACTGCATTAAAATTTTCTATTGATCAAATGATATTAGGATAAAGAAATCTGTTTCAGAGGTGGTGGCTTTTCTTGTCGGCATTAAAAACAATTCTGTATTAACCCCTGAGATCAATAAACTTCATGCTTTGGTTCGTAGTTGTCCCCTTTCACGAAAACAAACGAATTTGAAATTTCAAAAAGCAATTTTCCTACAAGGGTACACCACTTGAAAAGAGGGCAAGCTTACACCTCCTCCCCCCCCACCCCCATAAATGAAAGCCTTTTCTGTCTCCTCTGCACCCTGAAAGCTGTTTTCTTTTCTCCCCCAAAATAGCTTAATTAAAAACACCGAACAGAATGTAATCAATTAGCAAAATGCTCCTTTATACCTAGAGGTCACGTTTCTGAATGTTTTTTTTTGTACCGACTAGACGTAGAAAGCTGCCAGGCAGCATACACTCTAAGAGTTTGTAAAGGTGGATTCATCCCAGTGCTTAGCTAGATAATGTATCGAGGTCGAGCAGTCTGTCTCACTGCATGACGTCATTCTTGCAGATAGAATTAGCTGGAAGAACTTTGGCACCGAACACAAAGACAAGTTTACGAAAGGAAGAAATTTGTCACACATCTTTTTTATCGAAATTCCGTAATTTGATTGGCTCCGACTCCCAGGTGATTAAAAAATAACAGAATGGATAGATAATTCCATGCTTATAAAAGGTCTGCCTCCTACGCAAGCGCCGATTCCGTTTTGCGGGAAAAGGGATCAGCTGATGGCCTCGGGAATGTCTGTTTTTGATTGAAGTTGTTCCCTTAAGATTCAAAATGCATTAATATCATCATTTGCCTCCTCTTCTTTTTCCTCCTCCTCCTCCTCCTCCTCCTCCTCCTCCTCATTATGGTCGAAAAACAAAACGAAAATTATTTTTATGGATGTAATTTCATACTATATTTTAATATTATATTTTTATATAAATGTATAGTATATAACCCTCTAATTTTTACCCGCCAGCATTGCGACAGGAAGCACCGCCAACAACCAAAACTGCAACAGCAACAATTCCCTTACGGTACTCACATTGTCAATCACACAGGACCTCAAGTTTCTCAGGGTTTGTCTTTGAAACGGAACGGCAGGTAGGCGATGTTCGAATCTCATTGACGCCTGAATTAATTTACTAGCACTTTGCTCCTTTATTTACCTCTCAACTCGATGTCCTAGCTTTTTTATAGTCACCGCCCCCCGAAATGACCCTCGTTGTGTCTAGCGCAGTGGTTCTTAACTTAGGGTCAGTCTAACCTCAGTTGTTCGGTGAGTCAGTTTCAGGGGTTCGGCGGAGGTCAAGATGAATACACACCTACACCTACCCACTCACCCATCGATCCACCCACACATACACACACACATACTCATACACACACTCATACACACACACACAC